CATTCATGAGCAAGGTCAGTTGCACTGACATTAGAGCAAGTGTCCTATGATCAAATGTAGAAAAGGTCATTACTGACACAGTGAGGTTTATTTTATACAAAATCTATTTACATGACAAGTTTAAGAATATCATGACCTTTGGCTTTTGTTGTGCTCTAATTTTCCTTTAATGCAGGAATACATTGTTTTCTCCTAAATGTCCTCTCCCTTGTGTTTTTCTAGAACGCAAATAGTATCATGCACCTATTAAATTTATGACTGAGGAGGAAATCTCTACCAAAAAAAGACATACAGGATGGGAAGCATAACCTGAGTTCAGACTGGCCAGGCAAATTCAGGACAGTGGCTAATTTCGAGGTATAAAGCAAAACCAGATGCTCATCATGTTCCAATTACAAGGGAGGTTTACTTTTACCTCTTCTGAAATGGGCTTGCTTTATTTTTATAATTTGAAAACCCTCGAATGCACAAACATAACTGTAAGACAAGTTCCTTTCTAGTAAGCTCCTAACCTTAAGATGCTTTCTTTACTAGGCTGCTGAAGATTAGGGATGCATGATATGTTGGTGGCCGATAATATTTGCCTGTAATCAGAAAAACGTTATTATCGGTCTGATACTGACATTTTGGCCGATAATTGCAAATAAAAACTTGCTGTCCTATTTTTAGCTTGTGTAAGCACTCAAGCATGTGAAGAAGCATGTGTAGCCACCAATATAGCGCCTTCTTCCAGACCTCATAATGATCTCTGCTGGCTGCCCTGGGCTTCCCTGTAAAGACCTACAAAGGCACGTAATGTAACTTGAATTCTAACAGAAAAACAACGTTGTTTGGTTTGTTTTTAATCAACACATTTTCAACATAGTGTTACATTTATATACTGATTTTTACAATGAATGGTGCAAAAAGGTAGAGACATTTCAGGCTTATTTCAGACACGCAGACAGATGACAGGATTTCTGTTGATCTATCTAGCAACTATGACATGGAAGTAAGTATAATCTAATGTGAATATTTTAGAATTTTTATTCTCACTAAATGCAAAGCCAAGTTCACGTTCCATCTTGAGGGACACAACGTTCATAGATTCATAGACTAACACAAATCTTGTTCAGGACTGACAGATTAGCGAGGTATTCTGGTGTTTTAAACAAAATTAACTGATATAGATTTAGAGAGTTCACATTAGATATCCCATCCGATGCAGATAAACCTATTACTTCCATGTTCAGAATTCTCCCATGTGTTCAGAATTCAGTTATGCTGTGGGGAAACAAATGACTGAGGACACACTCAGATTCACTTTGAACGTCAAAACAAGAGCCAAAAAATTAACTTGCAGGGGACCATTTCCTTTCGCATGAACGTTTTTATTGTTTTGTTATTTTTCACTAACTTATTTTCAGCCTTCCAAAATATAGGGTGATATATTAAGTTGTTAATAAGTGATTAGACTACAACTTAGCAAATTTTACCACCGTCTCTGAAAACTTCAAACAGCTTAACGTTTCTGACCGTTTCTGACCATTATAAAAAAAATATATATATAATATTTCATGATTCCCAACAAGCATCTATAGCTGAATTCCAGAGCACAGCGCCTCAACGACAGAAAACACCTTTGTGTTGTGTGTGTGTGTGTGTATATAAAGCATATGCACATGGCTTTGGAACCTACTCACATACGTTTAGCAGCCTGAAGTTTCTCCACAAGTTGCTTTAAATGTGTCATTTAAAGAGAACAAACAGTCATGAAGCCACACCAGCAGGAACTCTAAAGTACTTATTTACAGCAACAATTTTCAAAACAAGATGTGAAATTTTATTATTAAAATGTGTCGAGTTACTTACAATTATATTACGTAATATGTGACTAAATAAGCAAGCCAGTCTAAACTGCAGCTGACCGTGTATACTGTTTGTGGGGGCTTGGGAAGGAAAAGTAATTGATTCCTTTTTTCAAAAAAAAAAAAGAAAATACTGCGCAAATTATTTTTAGATACTGCATAGGCCTTGTCTGCACTATACAGCATGTTCCACGTTCAACTCTTACACCACTCTTTCAGTTATTTCAGTTAACAGACATCAGAAAAAAGGTGCTGAACTGTAATTCTGGCTATCACTTCTCTAACACTCCACACTCTTGTTTACAGAGGACTATGTTTGCCAATAACTATCACAATAACTGCAGTAATATTACTAGCTCTACATGCTGAGGCATGAAGGAGAATTTCTGACTTGGCTTTGACTTCCAATTGCAGGAGATTACAGATATTACTGGCTCTAAAGACAGATGTGTATCCTTCCTGGTTCTACTACACCTTTATATTACAGGCAAACCTACAGAGACACAAAGCAATTTACAAAGCCGCACAGGATAAGTCTCAGAGTCAGCACAATCTATGTTACTCTTTTATTAACTTTCCTTTGCAACAGACATATGAAGTATAAAGACTTGTCTTGCACACTTGGTTTGTCTTCATTTCAGTGTCTCTAAAACCTCTATAAATATTTAACAAAACTAACACTGTAAGACACAGAAAAAAATAACAAAAGCTAATGAAAATAAAATCAAAGCAAATTAATGTTTTTTGCCGCCAGGAGATTGCGGGTACCAGCTCATCGTATGAACTATGAGTCATTAGAGCCACAACTGGCAGCATCAGCGCAAAGATCCATGTTAAATGTATTTGGCCCAAATAACAAATTAACAAAACAATCCAAATTCTAATGTTTCAAAAAGTAAAACAGCAATTAGAATAGCTCTGCTTTTGAAAATACAGTTTTCATGAGCAGAATATTTATTCACAATTGCATCCTCCCTAATAATTTAGTCTAAGAGCTGTAATGATGACTGTGTGTGTAATTAGTGCATGTTTAAAGCAGTGCTGATTTGCTCTTTAGCTGGCTGATTAATTGTGCTGCTGAGTTGATTGTGTGTGGTGTGAGCATATGGCAGCTGCAGCGCGTCTTCTCTGTGGCTCGCTGGCTCAGATGAGAATGGGCTCAAACCAGTTGGATTGGGCACAATGAAATGGCTAAGTAGAAAGCACTGTACAAGGAACATTCACACCTGCTGTACCAATGAACACTATGATGTCATAGTTAAGGTTTCAAGCAGGGGTGCAGAATAAATCTGTGGCCAATATATCACTCATCAATAAATGGGGGGAAAATTAATTATCATCAGTGCTATATTCTAATTTCAGCTAACGATAACTACAACCAACATTTCAGTGCCCTATATTTAGCTCAGGTATAATGGTAAGACAACTGTCTCACACATGGAAGATTTGAGGTTCAATTTCCCATCCAGGCTAGAAAGTCACTGCCATACCAATAAGAGTCTTCGGGCAACATTTCTCACGTACTGCTGTGAATGGCTCTAGATCATTTTTATGTCTGAGATCTTTTCCCTTAAATAAAAACATTCTAAACTGAGTCACAGTTTTTCCCCTTTCATGAGAGGAAACATTCCTGAATCAAAGGTTCAGAGTTACAGGGAAGTGTGAAGATGGGAATTACTGATGCCATTGTTTTGCACAAAAAAGGAACTGAGCAAGCAGGTGATGAGACACATGTTTGTTACCAATATAAACAAACCATATCACTTCTCAAAGCAGGGACAGCTCACTCAAACATAGTGAAGCAATGATACAGACACAGAGACCCAAATAAGCAAATACAGACCAACACACATTACCTCTACATGCCTTACAAGTGATTAAAACAAGATAAAACTGGTAAGCAATGCAGGACTCAGGATTCAGATTGTGTGTTGAAAAAGTGCCCTGCAGTTATTTTAGATGTCTTTGGCACACAAAGTAAACAAATAGCTTTCAGAAATTGATTTAAAAGGGGGCACAAGTCCATTAGTATAATAATATGATGATCATATTGGGACACAATTATTGTACATCAACAGCTCAGCTGAACTCTGAGCAGTATGGTGGGAGGTTGGGACTTTCTAAAAGCCAAACTAATTAATCCCTCTCTGAGTTTAGTCTCTTTAAAGCCTCCAATCTGAGGAGACAGTCACATTCACACTCTCTCTCACACACATACACACATACATTCTATCACCCACATACTCACAGAGACACAAAGCTAAATCCACTGTACATACACAATTACACAGGTGCATTATGGGGTGTCATGGTTTTAAATTTTACCATTATAACTGCATATAAAATTAAGGGAAAAATAAACAAAAAAACTAATGGTAGAGTAAAAAGTGTTTACAATACTTTACAGTTACAGTATTTTAGGGGTACATATTCTATATGTAAAAGTATTATATAGAAATATTATATATGTATATATAGTAATATATATGTAAAAGACCTCTGTCATGACTGCCTGCCTTCTTTTGTGCCTGTTCAAGAGAATATTCAAATGGGTGACAAATTAAGAAAAAAAAATGAATAATTACCATCCTACCATGCACTGTGGCATACAGAAAAATGCAGACCCAGCTGACCTCAATTTACAATCGATATGGCAAGTGAAAACTATTCAAGCAGCTTTGGAAGAGGGATCATTATTGGGGCATGGATGGGGCAGGAGCTTCAGTCTCAAAAACTTCAACTCAACTGCTCAAAATATTATTTTTGAATAAGTTTTAGGATGATTTGGAGCAATTCCAACTGTAAAGATTAATTATCCTTTAGCACAGAGTGTATTAGTCTTAATTTAGACAAGACTTCATTGTAGGACATTATTATCCACTTTACAAAGTTCTATAACTCATTTATACCCAAAAGTGATCTCTAAAATTTAAAACATTTTAAATAAAAATGAAGAAAATTCATTCTAATTATCTAAATAAAAAAATATCAGAACAAGTGATGTCCACAGCACCCTGAAAACTTGCTGAAGAATGCTATCGTATAAGACATACCAGTATGCCATGACATCCCAAGATACACCACACTCTCTCACCCTCTCCTTCTCTCAGACACACACACACAGTATAAGTGAAAGATAAAAATGAGACTCACTCTCTCCTCCAAGCCGCTGTCCTCTCCATGTGGCTCTTTACCGTCAGGTGTGTCTCTGGTGACGGGTGCAGGTTTCTTTAGCGCAGGCTCGCGGTTCAGAGTGGTGTAGCCCACATGCTCATAGATGGGGTTGATGGTCATCTTAGCAATGTATTCCGCTGCTTTGGTCTCAATGTAGAGTGTGATGAGACCATCTGTTACCAGGTCATGAATGGACTCGAAGCGCTTTTCTCCCACAAAATGCTTCCCATCATAATACAGGCGGAAGTTGCGGGTTTGATTGCCAAAGCTGATGGAAGGACAGACAGAAAAATAAATAACTGAGTGCTAGAGAAAAAAACAAGAGAGAAAAAGAGAGAGGAAGAGCAGGACAAATGACCACCAAGGAGAAAACAAGTAAAGAGAAAGACGGCAAAGGGCAAAATCCTTTTTAGCCAAGCAGTGACTGACCACTAGAAAGATAACCACGTTAGACCTGACTGTGCACAGCTGTAAAAGCATCTGATGGGAAACACAACACTACCTTTAGCTTTCAGACACTACATGCTAACCCAACACACTCACTTTTAAGGGCACCTGTACAATCTTGCTGAACTACAGCTCTTAGCAGTTATGAAGGACACAGAGCCAAGATGGTCAATAATTAAATTAGAAGAAGTCTGTGTTCCACATCTTGGCTCTGTCTTCAGTCAACCAGCACACAGCAACAAACATTAACATGCCGCAAGGCAAGAAGCTTAAACAAAGGGCTACAACAATGTAACGGGCACACGACAGAGAGAATCCTTAAAAATAGAATAAAATATACAAAAAAAATATACAAAGGCTAAGGTCTCTTCATAATACATGAAACCATTGATATGCTTTGATTTCCCAGATGATTAAATCAAACTGAGATATTGAAGATTTTCTCTATCAAACCATTGATATTGACAGAATGCAAAAGATCAGTAGTAAGGATGAATGATGCATTAGTCTACCTAATTAGTCATAAGGAATATCAATTCAAGTTTATCATGCAGTCAATGTCTGCATTATGTGAAATTGATCAGGCAACTGAATATTTATGAGGCACAACCTTATCTCTCAAGGCCAAGAGGATACTCATTTTGAACTCAACAGATAAAATGTAGGCCATAATTACTAAAACACACCATTAGTCAGTTAACACCTAATATACTGTTAATTTAACAGACTTTAATGCACTGATAAATAGCCAGTATGGTAGCAATGAAGCATTACTGTTTTAAGCATTGTTATTTAAGTTACAGAGCAGAAAAAAAATATATCGGCACCTTGTTCAGTATTCAGTAATTAATCAGGCAGGCAAACTTGACTTGAGTGTCACAGAGAGCCTTTGGAATTTAAAGCACTGATTAATACAGTATTAACGCTCTTAATGATCAACAAAATAATGCAGTAACTGAATGTTGAAGCTGGTTATGTTTGCATTCTAGCTCTGTTTCCTGTGTGGATTCAGTTACTCTTCCAGAATGAAAGACATGGCTGACACACATGGGAATACAGGACTGCAGGGAGGTGCTATCTGCAGACGCACCCACACACACACACACACACACACACACACACACACACACACACACACACACACACACACAAGTTTGAGATCTTGTTTCCTGCTTCCTATGTGAAGAAATACTAGACTCCAATAACCACACACACTGATTGAAAGTCAAGTAATCATTCATTTATGAGGGCTGAGTTGCAGCACACAGTACTGGATGGAGTTTCTAGTCTCACTCTAAGTAGGGATGCACAATCAGAATAGGCAGATTTTTGCTCCAAACATGCAATCAGCCATATCTCTCACCGTGCTAAATAGTCAGTTACCTTTCACTTTTGATGAAAAACAGATTTTTACATTCCATTGATTTAAAATGCCAGTTTGGGCCACTAAAGAACAAATCATCACTGTCGGAAGAAAACCTCATCTCCAAAAAGCTTTTTTACAGGAAAACATTATGTACTTGTAATGGACATTAATGTAAAAAAAAAAAATGTACATAAGATGTACATAAGAACTAGTTTAAAAAGAGGATGAAAAGACAAACAACTATTTAAACGGTGAAAAAAGCTAAAGTGAAAACAGAAAAGGGAGTAAAGTTCAGGGATGCAACATGCACGGTATATCAGCAGGTGAGCAGCTTTTAAGAAAGGATTTAATCTCTTACCCCATTCTCAGCCTTTGCTAGAGAGCTCACACACACACACAGGCCAGAGCAATATGAAAATTTTGTGGCCAACACCACGATCAGTTTTAAGGGGCTGAAAAAATATGCAATAATCAATAATAGCAGCCAATGTTAAATATGTCTTATTTTTCTTATATTTCTTATTTTCATTTGTCTCTTCATTAAAAGGTACTTGGTGTTATGATATGTTACCATCACATTAAGGGTGATGTTTAAATATATTTTATAGGTTTTTTCATACTAATTATGATGCTGTTTTGTTTTCAAAGTTACCAGTTCAGTCTGTATTTGTTATCATAGCTAAACAAGGAGTGAACCAATACTGGGTTTACCAGTGGCACAACAATCTAAGGTTTCACCCTGTCTTCAGGAGACTTTAAGTTTAAATTTAGGCTGCTCTGCAACCATAATTATCAATTCATTGTCAGTGATATTTTTGGTGATACTGATAAAACTGCAGGTCATCACTTTCGGTTCATCTAGTCCTAATACTCATGTACTTCAAACACAGTTGCGTAAAAGAGGTTACAAAAAAAAAATAAAAAATCTAAAAGACACACTCTGGCCACTGCATTACACACAGTTTCATCGGGTAGTGCTTGCACTAAAGATTTAAGCTAAAGCTCAGGCTAAGCAACCCTTTCCCTAATCCTGTTTAAAGTGAATAGACCAACAGAAGTTCTTTTACTACATAGACAGCATCAGTAATCAGCGTTCATCAGGCTTTAAAACAGCCAATTCACTCAAAAAGGATAAAAATCCAAAGAGGCCAAATTAAAAAGGATAATCCTATTTATTTGGCATTCATTTAACTCCACTTACAATATATTTGCTCTCTGAGAAAAACGTTCACATCTTATGCAAAACAAAACAGAACTCAGAACTATTTAAAGCAGCTGAGTTTTATTAACCGATACAAATGATAAATTATGAAATTACAAGCATGAATTTAATTGACATTTTATTTTTAACATGCCAACCAGTGTTTTCTTCTGCAATTTATATAAGATTCCTCTCATTCATATGACTATGCTTTGTCTGCATGACTAAGGACTACTATTTAGTAAGATTGTGCAGCTTGTGCGCTTCTACAGTTGCTAATGAGGCTCAAATCTTGAGGGCAGCCTGGTGTCCCTCACAGACTGGGATAAAGCCCTGTATGTGAGGCATTACATCACCTAAACTTAATATAGCACAAGGGACAGAATTAGACTAGGCCAGCAGACATGTTTTTCCCTCAGGACAGTAGCTGAAAAGCTTTAAATTGACTTGATAATAAACAAGTTCAAGTTCAACTTAAAACTGTAAGTTTCAAGTGTAAAGTAGAAAAGCTGAAGGCTGAAAGGACAGAAGTCAAGCATAATTGGTAGTCATGATAAGTGAAGGAGTATGTATGGGCAAAGTTAGAAGTAGAAAGACACAGACCATTAAAAGTGGAAGGACACAGACCGTAAGGCTAAGGTGTAGGTCCCAGGCTGTCTCTGACTTTCTCTAATGAGGTAACTTCCTTCTGCCACACTCAGCAGGTGATCTGCCTCCTCTCTGGAGATCATGCCATGGTACCTGAGGAAGACATAATATTACTTACATCACAGGCAGACCTAATCCTGTCTACTGATAAAGAAATAAGAGTTCATGACAGAATTTAAAACAAAAAGAAAGGTGCTGAAACCTACTCTCGTCCATAGTATTTTGGTCTGTTCTCAACCTAAAAAAAGGAGTAGGAGGAAAAAGAACCATATACATTACAACCTTATCAAACAGTAGAACATCAGCATGGTCAATAATTATGATACTGTATCCCCATAGCCTACTTAAGTTCTCATTTTCCTCTTTCAAATCTTTTCCCTGAGTACTATCCTATTCACATCTAACCTAATAGTCCACACGCACTCTCATGCCCACACTCATATCTTGTTTGAACTTTTATTTTATTGATTTCTATTCTCTCTTACTTGATGCATTTTGTTTGTCTTGTAAAGCAACACTGAACCAGAGGAAGGCGCCATATAAACAAAACTTATTTATATAAATCACTACATTCATGATGACAATGATGGTGGTGATTATTATAATTATTATTATTAAGAGATAGGATGTCCTTAACATCTATCAACTCACATTATTATCATCAACTACATACATCTTTTTAAAGTTAACGCAATCACTCAGGTTAACTGCAGAAAATTGGCAAATAATAAAAATGCATTTAAAGGTGTATTTAGAAGCAGCTAGTGTTTTTATCACAATGTAAGCAACAGCCACTAAACAATAGGAGAGCAGAGACTGATATATATAATGTATGAGCAGGGTTTCACTGTAAATGGGGTATTACCACATTAGCATAATAAAACCCCAAACAGCAAGCCCAGCCGTTTAACCTTGAGCTGGCTGTGAGGCAGCGATCTTCAGAAAGCACATGAATAGGGAACAAGTGCAGATTAAAATGATATTGGCTCATTTGCAGATGCACAGAGTGCTGCCTTTTCTGTATTCACAACACAATCACCAGTCTTCCCTCCCCCATCAATACACACAGACACTTACTCCACTTTGTCTTACTATACTGCAGCGAAGTAACAGAAATGGTAGAAAAAAAAGGGGGAAAATGAGGGTGAAATACAAGAAAATGCTGTGTATGTATGTCTGTGTGTGTACTGTCAAAGTTAAGGGTGGATTATTTTACAAACCTGTTTCACAATGCTCAGGGGAGTTTTGGCTGAAAAACACTTGCATGTTTTCAATAGGGGAAAAAAACAAAACAAATAAAAAATAAAAAAACACCACAACACATCTCAACTAGAAACAAACACAATAAATGCAGCATAATGCTCATTTCTCCAACAAGAAACAAATGTTATCTGTATACTGTCTGTCTTCAAACACACCACCTATTCAGCTTTACATTATGATGAAAACCACAGGGCAAAGTGAAGAGCAGGTGACCATAATAATATGATAAAAAGACGCGGAATAAATGAGCTTGTGATTGCACAATTCATTTTATTTATTATGGCTTAAATTAAATAATGGTGCTGACTTGTGTGCGTGTGGGAGGCGGGCAGGGTGAGGGGGTCTGGAGCTATATAGGGGTAATATGTATCCATGCTATATAGTGACAGGTGATTTTGTGTGTACACATGTGTGTAGCAACAAAGAAACAGCTGGAAAAAAGCTACTTAGCATTCAGGAAAGCCAAGACTAAACCAAACATTTTAAGACATTAAAATGTTTGTTCTTTTGCAATAAATGGTAATAAAACTGGATTCTGATGAACTGTTTATCTGGTATTATTCTCAATAACAATATGCTCACGGAAGCACCCTTCAAACCCTCTTTACTTAGAGGTTGAAATGCTTTCTTCTGGACAATGATTAGAGGTGAACGATAGGATAGAGAGCATTTTTTAAGTGTGGCACCTCAGAAAAATTAAACATTGTGATGCATATTGTGCATCATGAAAATTTCTTGAAGTTTATTAGATTTTTGTCATATCACCCACCCCTAAAACAATAAGGTCCCAAAAACTAACAAAAATATATGTAAAAAACCTTCTGTATCACAAGTTATGCAGAGGAATGTTATCAAGATGAAATCCATATTGCTGCTTACTAGAGATGGAGGGATCGGTCGACTGTGTATCGGCATCAGCCAATTTTCAACCCAAATATGCAATCGGCTGATGTTTAACTTAGCCGACCAGTGACATAAAACATACGAGCCATATTTCTCCTGAGGCGCCAGAATGCACCTGCTGTACCATTTAAAATGGAGCAGGAAAATTTGAACAAGAAGCCAGCAAATAGAAAGCCAACTTCAGCCTCCTCATATTTATTTCACTGATGAAAAACATGTTTCCTGAAGTATATATGTATGCAATACACAGTAACAATTGTAGCGACAGCTTGCTGACCTGCTACCTAGCTAGCTAACGTCAGTTACAGAACTTGCTGTATTGTTGTTTCTCATTATAATGTGGCATTTGTCCGTGCAAAGTTAGCAAAGGGTTTTATGGCCACAAAGTAAATATATCAAAAAGTGTCGTTTGTCTTAGCAATGCGCATCCACAAATTTGGAGGGGGGTCAGAGCTTCTGAAGGAGCAATGAAGGGAGAGGTATGTTTGTTTTGTTGTTGAGAATCTCTTCTGCGCCTTTAAAAGTGGCATCCAGCCACACCCTCAAAGGATATTGGCCAATCATGCTGAAAGGCGAAAGGCATCGGCCCCAAAAACACTAAATGGTTCATCTCTCCTGCTTATTTTATAGCACAATTGCTCACTGTTTGTATTTAGTATGCATTTGTTTTGGTCACTCTGTATAATAGCTTTTTTAAAAGAGGCTTTTAAAAAAGACAAATTTCCACTGTGGCAGATGATGAAGTCAGTCTATTCTGGTCTAATCTGATCTAATGATAGACCACAGAGAATAATCTGAAGCTGAAAAGTTGCAATGATAATACAAAATTATCTGAAATTAGAAATAAAACAAACACAAGCAGTGACACGAATATACAGAAATGTATACTGAACAGTGTTTTAGAATGAAAACAGCTTAGGGAACAGAAAGTATGAGTAAAGAAAATCTGTACTATGACAGATAGAGAGGGCCTGAGCCTAAAGGAGCCACTAAAATGGGTCATACTGCGATGGCTCAAGGGGACTGCTGAATTCTCCCTCTCTCTCTTTCTCTTTCTCTCATTCACTCATTAGTTCTTGCTCTCACAACCTCATACTCCCTCTAACTCACACACAACCATACCAAATAGGCAAGATTTAAAAAAGAAAAAAAAAGAATAATCTGACACTCTCGATCAAAAGATTTTAATCAGTTAGCTCTCAGAAAAGTGTGTGTACATGTGTGTAAGGAGCTGGTAGAAGGGCAGCACAGCACTAACCTGAATGGTTACTGAACCATAAGAAGAAGTCAGTACAGTCACAGCCCTGAGCTCTGATTAATAATGAACAAATGCCCTAGACTACATCACAGAGAGCGTGAGTACCAAAACAGTACAGAATACCAATACAGTACAGCCCCTCCAATAGACTGCCTGCGCTGCCCCTAGTCTAGACATAATTGATTTAGAATCCATCCCACTGCTTCAAAAACTAATCTCAGCTGCACAGAGATGTAGCTGCCAGTACATTCTACCCTCTTAGCAGTAAATTATCTGACTTGTAACAGCAGCGAAACTCTTTTTAGTGCTATACAGAGTCATTTCTTTAAAGAATCATATACAACAGGTTCTCCACCATTTAACCATTCAAACAGCTTCATGGTTCTTTACAAAGCCATTGCCTTCACTAAAGACAGGGGCAGACAAATATCAAAATTTACACTGCCCACTCAGACCACCAGCCCAATGAATCTTGTGGCCAAAATTAAGAATTTGCTGGCAGAACTCCCAAGAGCAAATTACTCTTGGTTTTCTGTTGTGGAAACTGACAACAGGCTTGACAAATCACATCCTTCTCAAAATCATACTTAAGTCATACAAATTTTTTCTTCTGCTTGACTCTGAACTTTTTTTTTCAGTCATCATTCTTTGATTTGATCTAATTCTTTTTTTATTGTCAGCACTGCCACTGTCAGTAAAGCTATATTTTAATAACCCAGCCGTTGTGACAGATTACTTTTCATTGTGGCAGACTGTTTCTGTAGAAAGAATTACCTATCATCACATTAGTTAATGTGACATTCATGTTGCAGTTGGTGAAATCCGAAATAATCTGATTTGATGAAATTAGTGCCGTGTTGTTATTAAAGATGGATGTTTGAGACTGTGTGACCATTTGACTGGTCTAGTGGTTTGTTAAAAGGAAAAAAAAATCTCTTGGACAAACGGCCACCCAGGTGAAAGGCTTTGCAATTTTACTGGCTAAAATATGAAATATTGTGGCCAGGGACACCAAGCAATGTTGCCCACTGACTAAATAATCCTTGATAAAAACCCATTTATAAGGGTATATATCATGATAAAATACTTTCAGGACTTACTAAAGAAGTTAGAATGTCAGGTAAAAGAGAAAAACAGCATGAACCAATCCTCACTGCACTAATGTGGTGATCCGGAGCTCTGTTTCCTGTGGTGTCGGCATAAACCAGCCAGAGGTCTCATGTATACTGTAATAAATTGTAGATCTCCCTGAAGAAGGCTGTTTATTGCTCATAAAACATTCCTCAATGGTACCACAGACTGTGAATTCCTTGAAGCGTCTATCTACAGTACATTCCCTGCCTACTCCATATTTACTACAACACATCAGCTTATTAACACACCCCTTAGGAAACCTGATATCAGGTGTGTTGAAACAAAGACTACACTAAACTGTAAAGTGTTGCAGCCCTACAGTGTTGGGTAACCCTGTGAATAAAAAAATACATAAATATATGGCACCTCAAATGAATTAATAAAAAAATATATATATATAAAATAACTACAGACCTTCAGTCTGACAATAATTGTGAACTTGAGCTAAACATCTTACCAATATCAAAATATGTTTGTTAGTGGCTGGAACTGCTTAAAGCAGGTATTAATGTGTGCTTATGCATTCTAAAGACAAAGAAAGAACAGATTAAATCCACAATCACCAACTTGGAGAAACAATCCAATTACCAGACCACAGGACAAACAAAGCCCAAAGCACAAAGCTCTACCTGCAGCTTTGCAGTGTGTGATTATGGGGAATAGTCTCAGACAGAATAGACATCTGCACTGATTAGACCTCATAATGAAGTCAACTTAAGCACTTAAGGATTTGGAGAAACAATAGACCTGAGGGGTATAACAACGGCTGCTCTTATTGCACGAGACAGAGAGGAATGACCTGCCTGCTGGTACAGAGGTTAGGGTGAGGGCCATTATGGTGGATTTGTGTAAAGATGTGTAAAGTGTACCAATACTGTAAGTACAGGACTGGTAACTTTACTGTAACGTAGAAAGGCCACAGATTATTACAGCTTCTGTTACCCCACTGCACTTGCACAGTCGGGGTTGGGTGTGCTAAATAATCACCTGATGACCTACAAGCACTGAAACAATAAAACACATACAGTGCTTTATCTGATGCTTCTATAGGATAACACATTATGTTTGCCTCATAGATTCCTTCTTTTATGACACATTTTATTCAATTACCATTGTAATGTCCTATGTTATATTTTATGACTAGCACAGCATTACTTTTGGAAGAAATATTGTGCCACAGCAATTTGTTTCACTGCAGCTCTAAAGTGTAGAAAACTGGCAAATAATTGTATTGCTACATAGAGAAAGAATATGTAAATAAATAAAATGAAACAATGCAATGATATGGGAATTGTAGACTGGTGCCAATATCTGACACTTTATGTACATAACTGTTGACGTGGATACTGACACTGATACAAAAACTGTAAATGTACTAATTGGGGCTGGATTAGCATACAGAAAACTGTAGACATTTTAGCGCAGTAGACGAGCATCACCTCTTCTAGAATACAATAAACACATTTTTAAATATTGGTTTGAAATATAGGCCAAATGTAAACATCTGTCCAATACAGATAATTTTTAAAGCAATTATTTACCAATACACTTTCCCATAGTACTGTTCATCACCAAAATAAATGTTCAATTTATAGCTTTTGTTTATGGTTTTGTTCCAGTGAACAAAACCTAGTTACTTTGATTTCTCACCTAACCCTCCAAATGCTCCACAGAAAACAGCCAACACCAAACCTGTTTATATAGGAAGACCACTGATTTCTATTTAAGTGTCTGTTTACCAATTCTTTAGACTGCAGCCTCTTAGGCTAATACTGTTAAATATATGCAGGACCACAGGGCAGATCATGCATGACGAATAGGGCTCAGTTGCCAGGCACAGTAATGGAAATAAATGCATTCATAATTGCAGCCAATTACTCTAAAATACACTGCAAATATACTGCTTCAGTAACCTTAAAGTCTATTTTCTGAATAGTCCATACAATGGAAGACAGAAACCTCACAAAATTTGCATAATAACCCATTTGAGAGGTGTATCAGAAACGGTGGATGTGTAAAGTTTGCACAGAAAACAGAGTGAGGGGGCTCATGTTGAAGGTTTGCTTTGGGACACTGGTGACATATTAGCATAATCTGAATGAGATGTAAATCAGGTTTTTGGACCAGTTTGTGGGGATTATACAGGGTTAAATCTCTTGCCACATCCATACAACCCCTTTGCCCAGGGGAAAATGTGCTTTTCAATAACAGGCCTTTTTCAGCAAGTCTCCAGCATGAAAAATTGTCCTCCAGCATGAAAAATAGGAAAAAAGGCCTCCAGCATAGAAAAGAAAACCTTAATGACCTCTAGAGGGAAAAAACAACATGCAAACATCCAATATGCACTTGAATTCATGGTTCATGTAAATATCGCTGCATGTTAATACTCCACTAATTAAGTGTGCATCCAGACTGCTGAGATGGAGCACTGGGAGATCTGCAAGTGTATGTACATTAGTAGCAGTTGAATTATAGTAACAGCAGGAGAGACCATCACTTTGTCAGCTCAACCTCTCCCCTGACCATCTTCCTTCTTTGTTTTGGTCCCTCATACTGAGCTGGACGAGACTATTTTGAAAGTCAATCATACTGCTAGCACATAAAAAAGCCAAACTGCAGCATGCTGTCCCTAATCAACAAGAAATTAGAATATTCACATGTAAATCATGTATTACAATGACCATACTTCTGCGATTTCAGTCTCAAAGAAAGCTCTCAGCTGAGAAAGGTGTCACTAGGATCAACTTCTCCCCTGGGGAGCATTTCTGCCTCGTCTATAAACGCCCAATCAACTAGGGCTACCTAGAGCTATCTTCTCCAACCTACAGCACTGTCAGACTAGACACAATAATGATAACACAGATGAATAATTCAGAAGCATTACCTTACGCTTTCCTTAATTAAGGCTTCTATCTGCCTGACTAATCTGGTTCTGCTGGTTAGAAGCAAAAGGGGGGCTGTCTGCATTCTGTGTTAGGGAGCTCCCTGTTTATACTGCAGCTAAACTACACACACACACACACACACACACACACACACACACACATTTAGACATCTAATTAAAACATGAATAGTTACTGATGACCTACTTATGAATAATCACACAAATCTTATCACATTAAGATTACTACATACATAAAAATTGAGAAAACAAAAAAGAACTATTGCAATAAGAGGTAATCACCATCGCAACCATTCTGAGAATGTAAAGTCATGACATAGGAAATAAGTATATTTTTATGTTCATTATAAGTATAGTTTGAGTTTCTTGGAAAGAAAGAAATTAGGAATTATGATGAAGGGTTACTGTATTTGCTTCAAAAGACAAATATTGAATAGAGAATTCTGTGCTGGTTTATGTGCTCACCTCACAAGTGCAAGTGACCCGGCGTGGGTGTGGCGCCTCCTGCTGGAGCTGATATACTATAACACAAACAGTGTGATCAAAGATGGCGCACATTAAAACAGAGTAGCAAATCATTATAGCAAACATAAAGTAAAACAAACAAAAAAAAAACATACACATAAGCACATTAGAAACAGATTGAATGATAAACAGATTTATTATGAGATCAGTGAATTGCACATTCCTTTATGGTGGTATAAGAAAACAACAGCCTGGCACACAGGTAATTTCAGAATGTGTCAACAGGGGGTGCAAAGCTGACAGATGATCAACCGGCAGGGAAGTATCATCATGATTATTTATTCTACATGAATTTATAAAGGCATAACGTGCCAGTTCAACATTACAGCTTGTGTAAAGGTAACCAGTAATGCTGCAGTTAAAAATAAAAAGAAAAGCATTTGCTTTGCCTGTATAAATCATTTAAAACATTTATTAACTGCTGTGATCTAATATTTTCATGTTGCAAAGTGGACACATCTCTGAAACATGAAAACATTTGAGTAGGAAAAACTCAATCTTTGCATTTACCAGAATGAGTTCATTAGGGCTGGGACCACATACTGATAATTATTAATAATGGCTTTGGAACTGATGAGTATAATTGAGCATTATTTTCTTTGTATTTTGTATGCATGAGCAGTTCGTGCTTCAACCTGTTTGAAACTCCTGGCCTGCAGAAGGAGTTTTATCGAAGCTCTGAATCAGCAATCTGTGTGTGTGTGTGTGTGTGTGTGTGTGTGTGTGTGTGTAATTCAACACATTGCTCCAGCCCAGCGCTCCATGCATTACAAAGTGCAAACTAGGGTTTCACGATATGGCATGAAAATTGATGGTTATCATACGGTGCGCACTTGTTTATTACCGGTATGGGAAAAAAATGCAACCAAACCTCTGCATGTGCATCTCTTTTCCTCCTCGACTGCCTGTTAATGCCACCACACAACTGATGCATTGCGTAGCGCAGTGTCAAGTAGCAGAGCATCGTTAGAGATGCCGGCAGGGAGAGCTGATAAAGCTAGGTTCAAGTTAATTTTTACACTCTACTCATATAAACTGTATACAATAAAGCATTTAGAATCACTTATAACGCTTGAAATCAGTTTACTACCTCTTCACAAACTGACTGATTTCAAGCCAAAAGATATGAGCTGATAAAGACTAGGCTATTAACGTTTGCTTAAGTAACTTACCACTAGCATTTGTCTGTTCGTCTAAAAAATTGCCTTTCTCTGTGAAAGAATTCAAGTCATGTGTGATCTACTATGGCTTTCTGTGATCTTAATATGGCTTTAATTTAATGTAGCAATGGCGAAGTGTTGAGTGGTGCACTGTGACGTGCTGAGTCATGGAGCACCAGTGCGGGTGCCTCCATTAAAAACAATGATTTGTAATTTTTGGAAGCATGCCAAAGGAGGAAACACACCAAACATGTTCGCCCATCTTCAAGAACACTATCCCTCCGTGCAGATCAAAGTATGTGTCCTATTTGTATCTTTAATCCCTAACAGAAAAATGTGTGAAAGTTTAAACGTCGAACATAAAACGCACAACGAAAATAGTTTTCCACATCACAGCTCCCGGCTACGTCTGTGTTGTCTGTCTGTTTGGTAACCTCTGACATACAGATACACATTGACCTGACACCATAAAGAAACACAAACACACACACGAACTTTGCTGTCTCAGAGGTCTAACAAGTGTTTGCGCATGTGAATTTTTTACTCATTTTTACTGCTTGTACTAATTGTGAAATACTGTATACTCTGACACTGCAATATTTTCTGAAAATTTCAAACTACTGTACAATCCCTAGTGCAATCAAACTACAGGAGCAACCATAAGCTCTCATCTGAAAGGTATTAGTGTTAATGTTTACATTTTCAAAATGTTTCCAAAAACATGTTTTTTGGGAAAGGGTTAAAAAACACTTGGCTTGGAAAGGTCCTAGATGCAGATTCTGCCATAGATATACAGAATATGTTACTTGAAAAGACCCACGGTGTGGGAAGGAAAACCCACGAAATATAGCAATGATTCTGTACCAATTTATCAAGCTTTAAAAACTGCTTAACATCCCATCACTACTGTTAATGAGCAAGCAGGTATTTTTATGTATGCTTGATAAATGTGCACAAGCCTGGGGTCATATATTAATGAATTAAGTACAAAGTATTTAAGTACTTAAGCACAAAACGTGAAATCATCCATTAGCTGTTTAATTTTTCGTCGTTTACTTACAAATGCCACCCGCATAAAAATACCAGCTATCAATGCTATAACTTACACCACTGAAGCCAAATGACTTCTACTTAAAAGAACAGAACAAACAACTTTACATTTGAAAAAGAAGCTTAAATTTAAGAAGAAGGTTATACTCACAGTAGGATTTCCATACTGGTGGTCTATATTCATCATTATCTGTCAGAAAGAAATACCAGACAAATATCATTCAGGTGAGGAGTCTTAATACATGAGTGAAAGTGAAATCAACATGTATAAGAATATATATATACACTGGAGAGGTGGAACAAATCTCTGTTCAGACGTTGCTTCACTTGTTACCTTGCATGAACTTGTCCCATCTACTGTAATAGTCTTGGTAAAGAAAGTCCACCCCCTAGTGGACATTTTTGTCTTTTACTTTGACTAAAGAATGGTTGCAGTTATCTGCTTTAGATCTAACATCTGCTCAGTAAATACGTCAAGTATTCACAAACCGCTGGCTTTAGGGGAAAGAGGAAAATGTACAATAAAAATTTGCAACTTGCACAAATTCCTATCCACTACAAATTCATATCTACTACAACATCATTTATTTTCTCCATTGTCTGTCAGTGAAATCCTTGGTCTGAATTGCATGTTGCTATAAACATTTTAGCAAAAAACTCAAAGACAGATGTGAACATAATTTAGAAGAAAAATGAAGGACTGTTAAGGCATAAGACAACAAATTATCATGGTACAGCAAAGAAGCTTTGAAAGAGATGAATAAATTGTCTACTTTAGGTGCAGAAGTTTTATGAGAAGCTATAGCTCCATATGTTGATGTTTATAAAGCTGTAAGGCTAGCGTCTTGGCCAGGCACTGCTGTATTCTGCCAGAGATGTTTGCTATTGCTCAATGGCCCTTCAAAGATGCGTATGGTCAAATCACAAAATGAACGCACACAAATGACAAACTTACATCTGATAGTATTGCATGTAAATTTGAGCTTAACAGCCTGAAAATACTTGATTTAATCACACTACACAACCACATCATTCCACCTTCTAAATAAAAGCTACATTTGTTTCATTTCACATTATATCTTTTCAACTGTTGTAAATTTTAAAACTATAAAGCTTTAACCTCTGGTCACTGCATGAATTAGGGTGTGCTTCATGTAGTTTATACCCTTTATTTTATTTATGTGTAAATGCCTTAACCCCATTGATAAAAAAACATGTCCAATTCATGTTATTTTTGCAACATAAATATATATTATGATCCAGTAGACACTTACGATTGGCCAGTACCACTGGAAAGGGAGAGGTGAGCCATTGTTCTTACCCACAGAACAGCAGGGTCAGTCACTCTCCAATTAAGCCCCTTTCACGCATGTACTTTTACGAAGGAATTCAGTTGCAATGAATTGGGAAGGGGCTGAACGTGAACAAAACTCAAAGTCAAATTCCAGGTAAGACTGATGCAATACAACTGTGGTAAGCAGTATAACCAGTATACTTCCTGAGAAATTATCACAAGAGCTCATTTAGACATTAGACCAGTGAAGCAACAAAAGGAAAGCCTAAAACCATCAAAGAGGAAGAATATGGGAAATGTCTGGAACTCAGAGCAACTCAGAAGTTAAGAAGCTATTGCACATTTGTGCTGAAGACATGCTTGTGCAGGGAATGATGAGTGAATCACTGGTTAAGGGAGGTGTACCAGTATAAAAGGCAATACTGGTGTGACGTCTCTTAAAATAGATTTTTCTATACCATGGATATAGTGATAAACAAAAAACATGTAAAAAACACTCCAATCAAGTCCCCTTTTGCAAGCTGGTCACACCTACTTTGCAACATGCTCTATTTTGAGAAAATAAATCATTTCCTTGATATTAAAATAAAGGAGAATGTATCCGTTGTAAACCCATCCAACAGGCAGGGGTAAACTTTGTTGACATAAACATGCAGTAGAGCAGTCATAAATACTGAGCTGTCTTTGTTAGCTACAGCAAACTGAAATATTATTTTAGAGATCAACTGCAAAGTGCAACATAGAAGAATTTTTATTTTGGTGCATGACAAATTATTAGTATAAGTAATATTAGAGATGGCAAGATACCACTTTTTCTTTAAAAAACTTCAAACTTTCTTTAAAAGCTTTAAAATCAGCTATTTTTAATTGAAGCACTTTACCTAAAATGAGAATCTTAAGTAGGGTATCACTAGGCTCAAACTACTCAATCACTTTACTACCCCACAGGAAAAATGAGCATGTGATTTCAAGCTAGATGTGATACAGGATTAGATCAAATTCATCCTTTTTTCCCTCTGTTATCCCAGTCACACTTTTCTACCAATGTCAGCACAGTACCCACTGATTCCAATATACCATCTCTAATAATTATTTCTAAAAAAAAAAGTTTTTTTAAACCCTTGTGAAAGTTAATCCAAGTTTATTCTTAATCTTATAAATTCAAACATTGTGAGACCGTCTCCAACTATTTTAGTACATTATAACAATCCTATTACTACTACTACAAATAATAATAAATAATAATAATAATAATAATAAATAATAATAAATAATAATAATTGTAATAGTAAATGGCTGTTCCTTGGTTTTAACATTGTCTGTTTTTTCTCTGTAAATCTTTTATGACTTCACCTGGTAAAACACTCAGTGCTTTTGAATGTGCTATACAAATAAACAATACTTACTTAGGAATTTATTTTTTATATAAATTATTCCATCATCTGAATGGTGAAAAATATCATGATATAAATGAATCGCTAGTGAACTCAACCCTGCTTGCCAACCAACCCTCTTAACAACACTTTTAAAACTTTTCATGTGCTAAGTAGGATTCTGATCAGGGTTACCACCTATAATGGGTGAAAGAACCTAATGCTTTTTTATAAGGTTAGAGAGGCTCTTTCAAACAATTCTATTTTTATTTTATATGCTAAATATCTGAAATGTAGCTGAAACAACATGAATGTGAGATCAAAGCTCTTACTTAAAGTTTACTTGTCATGACTGACATGCAGAAGATGCAGACAAAATTAAAGCTGCAGGATTAGAGGTTCAATAAAAGAATCAGATGAATGTTCATCCATATGCCTTTGAAAAATAAGAGAGGCACATATACCTGCTCGCTCTATATGGGCCTAATGAACGGCTGCAGGCAAGAAAACCCTGCAGAAATGTCCCAGTGTGAGCACTCACAGAACAATGGGCCCCTGGAGGGGAGAGGTTTTGGACAAAACCGCACAAGCCCTCTTAAAAACCTGGCCCTTCTTCACAACACATACACGCTTGTTCCCTCTCACTCTCGCTCTCTCTCTATTCAATGCCTTACTGACAGGAAAGGAAGTTCCTGAGAGTTTGAACTGGACAGTTTCCTTTGCTTTTTTATTTACAGCACTTTGCAACATATTCTATTTACAGACATTTTCAGTAATTATGAAAAGCCTTTAGAGTGAGAGTGAAATGCTTCGCATGAGCTACATTGATCACTGTTTTGTGAGTTCTGCATTCTTATTACATCTTATCAATACCAAAGAAAATGGCAACCAAATTATACGATTCCCATCGGCTTCCTTTGAAAATTAAGAAAGACTCAAGCCCAAAAATACAGCAAAAAAATATTCTAACAGCCCATCACCTGAGAGAACACTTTGAAATGTCTTATCATAAAGTCACATGTGCAGGACCACAGGAAGGAAGACACTGTGGCTCTAATCCAGCTGTGGTGAAGACGTTGGCGCTTCAAGCCAAATTAGGATTTATCTTCCACCCCTGGCAGTTTTCCTGCCCCTCCGCCAATTGTACTCCTCCTATGATTCAGCATTAAATATTGATAGAAAATGGCTGCTCTCCCATCCAGAGATAAGAGATCCAGGGAAGAACACTTCCTCTCCATGACTAGTCATTCTGCCAACAAGTGTCTGAGACATTCAAGCTTTACTTCATTCCAGTTTGCATTTAGCATTTCAAGTAGTCCAATGAATCTTACTGGCACTCAGCTGAGGTGGTGTAACTAATATTTACAGAAATAAGTGATATGTTCAACTAGCATCTGAAGTGTCCACGGCATGACAACGCCAACTGTTCCCTCTCTTCAACTGATGCCACTTCAAAAGCTGTACGAACAAAACAGCTCAAGCTTAGTGGAAGTGCCTAAAGGGAAGAATGATATGATACAGCACTCTCTATCTTCCGATTTTTTAGACATTTAGGGCATAGCTAGCGAAGATCGATCGGGCCATAGTGATCTCAACATCCCAAGAAGCCGATAGCATACTCTGAAATACGCCTTTGGGGCACAATGAGCTGTAAACACGGCTAACAGCGATGATCGCGTTAGCCTGTCCGTGTTCAAAGCGACATGGCCGAGCTAACCTGTTGGCTGTGCTGCACATTCCCTCTATCAGATTCCCGTGACCAGTCTATTGTTGATTGCCGCGACGGCGAATGCAAAACCCTGCCAAAAGGCTACACGCCCTGAGGGGCTCTGCTGGTCTCCAGCAAAACGCGTTCCTTTTAGGAAACGATTCGTACTCGTACTGCAGAAAATTTAAACATAACATGAAAGGATGTGCATTGTGTAACTTACCAAAGACATGGATAGCCATGTTAGAGCTGTAATTCCGATGGACAAAGCTCTGCACTGCAGCTGCAAGTTCTCCCTCTCTCTCTCTCATTCAGAGAGATATCCCACGCAGAAAATGTCGAATTCACCAAATAGCCTGTATGAAAACAAACAAAAAATGTCTATTAGTTGAATACCAAGGCTCTGGTTAACTGTTTAATGATATAAGTCGGCTCCTCCGGCTATATTCGGCTGCACAGCCAGCTGAAAGCTAAACTTTGAACCCCACTGAGTCAGTTCATCCAGCCTCATCAATTTCAGCAGCTAGCCTGGCTGGACACAGCCACACTGGCGGATTACTGTTAGTGTGCCTTCTGAAAGCTCTCCGAACTCTGCACCAAACCAGCCCCCAAACGAGGCTGTGTCGACAGAGGACAAGACGGTCCACCAGTGTTAATTTTCAGAAATCGTTTGCTAGCAATATGCAGTCCTGGAAGCTCCGACTCACTCTGTATCTGTATCTGTATCCCTGTACTGGAGTCGCCATCTTGTGAGAGCACATGACCGCGAGCTCCGCTTCTCCTCGGGGACTGCTGCAGCCTCTTCATGGCGCGTTACCATGGAGACGGCGGCGCGCGCCACGGAAACGATGCCGCTCTGACATGGAAAGTTTACCCACTCAGATAACATGTAACACATATAACACGGAGTTTTCCCTAAATAAAATCATTACGTTGAGGAAGCGGGTGGAGTAGACTCCGTAGGTCATTTGTGAGATGTCAAGTAATACTTTACGTTCTAGTTTCAGACAGTTGATGCTTATAGTGATAGCTTCTTCAGTGAGCAGAAAGGAGATGATGTAAATTGGATTATTAAATAAAAAAGTAATTTTACTGGGAGACTGAATAAAGGAAGGTTATTGTCAAGCCAGGCTTAAAGGGTCATTCTGGTCTAAAACTGGCAATAAATATGTTGTTTTTATGTAATATTCTGTAGTGCAGCAGTACGTCCCTCAGTCACACTGGTTTTAATTCAGAAATTAGAGACAGAATTCACATTTTTGTGTCATTTTTGTGTTTTTGTCCGTAATCGTTTTCTCATTACAGTACCCAGCATGCATTATGCAAATACGTCATGGAACCATTGGCTAATAACACATGTGGCATTTGCCTTCCTAGCGGTACCAGTAGCTAACTAGCTTCCTTCAGCATTAGCCAACTAGCAGGGGAAATAAATCAAACACCCCAAAGTGATTGTGGTTTTTCTAAAGGTCCTCCCTCCTTCTTGATACATCATCAGAAAGGGGTTTTCTTTAAACTGGAAAATCTTGATGTAGAAGCACAGCTGTAGGAGGAAGAATAGGGACGGGATAGGGATCCCATTTTGGCCTGAGTGTCCATTTAAGACAACTTTCCCATATCATCATATAGCACAAATTATCTAACATACTGTCCCATATAACTGAAAACACTGTTCCCTACATAACACACTGTCACATATTATACACTATCACATATTAGTCTCACCACATCAGTCCTTGGGCCCCAGTGCTCTGCACATTTTTTGTTTTCCCCACTCCATCCTGTAGGGAACCTTACTGAGCTAATGAGTTGAACCAGGTGTGCTAGATGAGAGAAAGCACAAAGCAAATGTGATTGGGCACTCCTGTTTAAAGACACTGTCCTAAACACAATATGCTACATGACCCCAACTCCTCATAATATCTGTATCAACCTACCTTCAAAAAGGCCAGTAGTAAGTCCAGATTTGGTATTACAACATCAAAAGAAGGTCTATGCGATAGGCTTTGCAATGTTCATAAGTGTTTTGGGTGAATACTCTGGTACAGCAGCAAATACCCTTATATTCTATATCTGTTCAATTAAATGGTAATATTTCCTTCTGCTGTCAAACTCTTGGTTTTACTCTCTCCGGATGGCGGTTCTGCGTTGACAGAAGCTTAAGTGAGTGTCCACACTAACAGGAAGCTGAGACAATGGCAGCCCAACGGCCAGTGTGCATTTGGACCACAGAGACATGCGTCCAAATACAGCACTTTGTTGTGAACACTCATTTCCCCTGTTTAACAAAACAGTGGAAGAGTCAGTGAAACAGTGGAAGCCTTCCATGAAATGCATATGAGGTAATTTATTGAACACATTACTGTACGTATATGTTTCATGGTACACTAGCATCTTGTTAAACTTTGGTGTGAAGGTTATGGCCCATTATGTAGTTCAATATAATTGAGCCTTTATACTGTTTTGTTGAAAGAAGATGAATGGCATGTTGGTTTGATTTGACACAGTATATGCAAACTGTATGCTTTCTTAGGATGAAGTGCTGTTGCATCAATGGATTTCATACTCAGATGAGTTCAGGAGGCACACGACTGTGTCTCAATACATTAATCTAAAATACTTACTGTAGAAACATTTACAACAACAATCATCTTTTCTCATGTACAGGATAGTGAATCCCTTGTTTGCTTGTAGGGATCAAGGATAAGATCTAGAAGAGACCACTCTAAAAAGGAAATGCCTGGTACACAAACATTTCCTGATTACAGCAATCCAGGTTAGGTTGCAGTTCAAATGGGATCAACAAGCAACTTCTTGCAGACTTTAAACATGAGGATTTACATTTTTTGTCTTTTTTACATCAGCCTTTATGGTACATTTGTGGGTATGTGTCCGATGCTCTGTGAATGCAGGAATGGGGAGATATTTTGTGTAAATTTGGGATTATCCCACATTCTTCAATTTCGTTCATCAAGACACCTCAGGCTGGCTGGCAACCTCGCTGACTGCATTCATTTATCTGGTCTCCGGCTGTACACAAATGTGAGTGTTTGGAATTTTCAATCGAATTCAACTAAGCTAATTAATTATGGGTCATTCTATCAGTTCAGGAACCTCAGAGAACTTCACCTAGGTCTCAACCAACAGGCACTGGATTGTCATCTACCCTTTGGTCTAGCCATCGCAAACATGAGTCAACTAAACAATGTCCCTCAAGAAGTGCATACCAGACTAAAGCTGCACAACAAATTGCACCTCGGTGGCAACAGTCTGAAACTGACAGAAAAACCAACAGCTCTAAAATCACTGGAGATTATACTTTTAGAAGACATGCAGATCAAGTTCATCACAACACTGATGAAGAAAACACTCAAAGGACCGCAAAGACTAAAGACGTTGAATCTATCAGGCAACAGGTTATCAGGCTTCCCTTATGGCATTTTTAACCTACTTTCCTCTGTCTCTGAACTCATGCTTGACAACAATCTCTTGTCTGAAGTCAAAGAATCAGATTTGAAGGACTTGAGAAAAGTAAAGCTGTTATCTTTAAGCCATAACAGGCTCTCTCAGATACATCCTTCTGCATTCAGAGAGTTATACAACCTGGAAGTCCTAAAATTGAATGGAAATCATATTTCTGAGATAAAGAAACTGACATTTCGATATTGCAGAAACCTCAGAGAAATCGACCTCAGTGATAATGCCCTTTCAAGACTGGATGATTTTGCTTTTAGTGGTTTATCCAAATTGAGAAGTCTGAGGCTAAACAATAACAGGCTCATCTACCTAAATCCTCAAGTGTTTGGAGCCAGCACACAGTTACAGTCCCTTGACTTGACAGGGAATGTGTGGAGGTGTGACTGTGGATTACTGAGCCTGAAGAGCTGGCTGGAGTCAGGCAGAAATGGCCTCGTCACTGTGAAGTGCTCTCATCCAGAAACTCTGAAAGGTCAGTACCTCCACACTATCAGCAGTGCACTGATCCACAGCGCTGGCGGCCCGTGCAGCAGAGCACACACTCGTGTTCAGTCAAAGCCTACCCACTCAGGCAGCGGCTCACGGGTGACCAGACAAACCTGTCATGATGGTGACAGATACCACACTCACCGAAGAGTGGGCAGGACCGCTCCACGACTTATGATCAGACATACAGAAAAAGGAAATGCTCTAGAATCAAAGCAATACCAGGACGGCTCAACAGGGGGCCTCTTGACCCCTCAAAACAAAACAGCAGCTGCACTAGTTGCTAGATTCCCTAACTCAACCAGACAAAAGGCCACTGAGGAGAACACAGAGAGAGACGCATGTTATTACAACCAGATGGTCATTCTCAACATCTCTGCTGTGACAGTCACTTCCAGCTCAGCACTCATAAAATGGGTTCTGGCCAGAAATGATGTCCAGAACATCCACTTCAGAGTCATGTACGACCGCTTCCACACACACACTCGCTTCAGCCGCTTCGTCAATGTTAAACAGGGCACGGTGTGTAACCTATGTGACCTGCGGCCCTCTACGCCATATCTCGTCTGTGTGGAGAGTGTGGTGGATGAGAAAGTGTGCCATGTGGCATCACGTGATCTTTGCTTGGGTATTATCACAAAGCCTGAGGAGATGTCCAGCCCTGAGCCTCAAACTATTATCTTATACTTCACTGGGGTTAATGCTTTTGCTATACTGGTCATTTTGGCCCTGTTTGTTCATTTGGGTTGTGTTCTGAGGAAGAAGTTGCAGGCAGATGCCATAAGTTTGCTTTATGCGCGAGATAAGAGCATCTCCTGTGCCATGTGTGCTGGAATACCCTTGTCAGATCGGAATTCTGGGATGAACACCACAAGCTCCCATACAGGAACATATCAACAAAGTGACGCCATTGATGCCATAGACCTGCCAGCTGCACGTTAAACAGAAGAGTGACCAGACAAACGTCATGTTACTCTAATTGCATGCAAAGTAGCGAACATATTTCAAAGGCTGGAGAGGAGCTATCAGACAATCCTTACTTTGCATTTGTTTTTACTTACCCTTTGACAAACACTGTAACATGCATTGAACACTGTCAATGGCATTATATGAATTTGATAATATTCCTATCAATGGAACAGTGGATGAGGCTTATATGTATTATACGGTATAATATGCTATGGTAATAGCATGTCAGCTAAAACTTAAATAGAGTAAATCCTCAAACAAAACATATTTCAGATAAACACATAGGGCATATGGTTTCCTGGATATAGAATAAGCCTACTCCTGGACTACACAGGCTTTGGAATGTATTTCCAATAAAAAGAAAAGAGTCCATGACTAGGCTTAAAGGGGAACTCCAATTTCTCAAAATTTTATAAACAAAAGAATTCAGAGTGGTTTGATGTGAAGTGTGCAGAAGAAACTTAATGACCCAGATTTCTTTATGATGGTGGTGATATGAACCATGAGTTACAATGTCTACAGCCCAAATAGCCATTTTATTAACTGTCAAAAAATGACCAGCGAACCTACCCGTGGCTGCTGGGTTTTTCTATGTGTAATGCTGGTGATGGTAAAATAGAAGTAAATCTGAAGAAAAAAAAAAAAAACAACATTATCTTTGTTTGCCTTACAGCACCATGCATGTACATCTCTGCCATAGATAAATAAAAAAAAATACATTTAAGGCTAAAAAGCTTATCTCAGAGTGATCTTAAACTAGTGTCTCTAGGCAACATTGTAATAATGTCATGTAATCATTTTTTGTGAGTTTTAGAAGGGTTAAACACTTCAGATGGCTGCTTCCAATCACCAC